ACTCTCATCAAGTGCCAAAGAACAGTATTCGAATTTTGCAATGCGTTCACGAAGCGTTGTTGCTATGTTCTCGGACAAGTCTTCAATTCTCCTTGCAATGGTGAATCTTGATAAACTAATGTTTGAAATAATATTTATTTTATCAGGAAATGCTATTTCTGCAACAGCAGTCAGACATTCTTTTATCATCTCTCCATCCGCAAAGGGTTTCATTTTTTTTGCCAGTATTTGACTGACAACAAAACTAGCCTTTACTGCCGTATTTGATAAAATAGCTTGATTTTTAAAAATAGCCTGTTGTTTTCCCAAGTTTTTCTCCATTTGATTAAACTTATCTATCCGGAGTTGTCCTGTTAAGTTTTTATATTGTTGTTCATGTTTTGTATCGTAATGCCTTTTTATGTTATATTCTTTTAATGTCGACACAGTCTCTGAGCATATTAAGCATACAGCTTTATCTTCGACGAAAGTGAAAAAATAATCAAATTTCCACTTTTCTTGGAAATGCCTGTGCTCATCCGCAACCTTCCGTTTTTTTGTTTGCTTTTCCGACATGCTATTATGGATTAAAAATTTGAAAGTTAAAAAAATTTGTAGGAAAACTTAATTTTGAATAAAAAAAACTCTAATATTACCTTTTTGACAATAATATTGCACTCACGCCTTTCAAGAAACACAAGAATTGCTAAAATTGCTAGTTAACAGCTTACCAGTCTGACTGATTGTGTGACAGAAGCAAACACAAACAAGCACAGACGCGGCGCGTTCGTATTGCATGTTTGAACAAGTCGCCGACAAGTGAGTAACTCGTCACAAAAAATTGTTTCGGTTTAGTATGTACTACCATTTTATTATAATTAATTTTATAACAATATATTGATGGCAGAAAGTCGATAAAATAAATTCAATTTTAAAAATGCTTGGCGGGCCGCATCAACATGTTTAACGGGCCGCAAGCGGCCCGTGGGCCGCGTGTTGCTCATCCCTGTTCTAAATGGATATGCACAATATAAATATACAAACACTTTATATACAGCACCACTCTTTGTGGCTTTAGACGAAGGAAAAGATGTTTGTTGAGTTTGAAATTGAATTAAAAATCCCCATGTAGCCTGTGCTATTGCATAACCCATACCACTTTCATTTGGCATTTTAAACACAGATATCCCACAGCTTACATACATGAAAAAACAGATTTTATTTTGTTTTTTCATGTACAGGTAACCCCCGTATAACACGGTAGTTATGTTCCAAAAAATTGCCGTGTTATGCGAATCCGTGTTATACAAAACAAAGAACTAATACGAAAAGAAGGGTTAGGTTCCAAAAATTAAAAAACATGCTAGTATATTTTCATAATTAAGATAAATATCTTNTGAACATTTGGAATCGTAATTAAAATTCGTTGATTAAAATGTCTATATATTGTGCGTATTTTTGAGAAGTAGTAACGTTTTCTTTTTCTAAATGTGGAAAGTGAGACACATTATTCTGCAAAAGATGCTGTTTCCACAATTTTAATTTGCACTCAAAGCCCTGAATTTTATCATACAAATAGTGAATAAACTGCCCTTTGCCTTGAAGTTCCAAATTAAGATCATTGAGATGCCGAGTCATGTCGATAAGAAACCCAAAATCGCACATCCATTCTTTATTACCAAAATGAGGAAAGGCATATCCCTTCATATCCAAATATCAATTGTATTTCGCTTTTTAAGTTGTATACTCTTTTTAGCATTGCACCTCTACTAAGCCAACGTACTTCGGTATTAAAAACCACGTCGCCATATTCAGTTTCTAAATCTTTCAGAATTCTTTAAATTCACGGTGATTTAACGTGCGCGACTTTATAAAATTGATTAGTTTAATTATTGGTACTGTGACATTTGGCAAACTCAATCTTTTCGCACACAAATTTTCCTGGTGAATTGTGCAGTGGTTAACGAATATTTCCCTTCCTGTGACCCTCTTAATGTCTTGAAATAGCCTTCCCGATAATCCTGCCTCCATGCTTGACACTGCTTGTGCTCCATCTGTCGATATACCAATAATCTTTTCTAATGAAATTGAAAAATTTTCCAACAAAGACTTTAGTTTATCGTACAGGTCTTTGCCAGTTGTAGTCCCTTGCATTGGAATCAGTGAACACAATTCTTCGGTAATATTAAATTTGGTGTCAATACCACGTAAAAATATAGCCAGTTGTGCTGTATCGCTAATATCGCAATTCTCATCAAGTGCCAAAGAACAGTATTCGAATTTTGCAATACGTTCACAAAGCATTGTTGCTATGTTCTCTGACAAGTCTTCAATTCTCCTTGCAATGGTGAATCTTGATAAACTAATGTTTGAAATAATATTTATTTTATCAGGAAATGCTATTTCTGCAACAGCAGTCAGACATTCTTTTATCATCTCTCCATCCGCAAAGGGTTTCATTTTTTTGCCAGTATTTGACTGACAACAAAACTAGCCTTTACTGCCGTATTTGATAAAATAGCTTGATTTTTAAAAATAGCCTGTTGTTTTCCCAAATTTTTCTCCATTTGATTAAACTTATCTATCCGGAGTTGTCCTGTTAAGCTTTTATATTGTTGTTCATGTTTTGTATCGTAATGCCTTTTTATGTTATATTCTTTTAATGTCGACACAGTCTCTGAGCATATTAAGCATACAGCTTTATCTTCAACGAAAGTGAAAAAATAATCAAATTTCCACTTTTCTTGGAAATGCCTGTGCTCATCCGCAACCTTCCATTTTTTTGTTTGCTTTTCCGACATGCTATTATGGATTGAAAATTTGAAAGTTAAAAAAATTTGTAGGAAAACTTAATTTTGAATAAAAAAAACTCTAATATTACCTTTTTGACAATAATATTGCACTCACGCCTTTCAAGAAACAACAAGAATTGCTAAAATTGCTAGTTAACAGCTTACCAGTCTGATTGATTGTGTGACAGAAACAAACACAAACAAGCACAGACGTGGCGCGTTCGTATTGCATGTTTGAACAACTTGCCGACAAGTGTGTATCTCGTCACAAAAAATCGCGCAGACGCAGCGCGTTCGTATTGCATGTTTGAACAAGTCGCCGACAAGTGTGTATCTCGTCACAAAAAATTGTTTCGGTTTAGTTGTACTACCATTTTATTATAAATAATTTTATAACAATATATTGATGGCAGAAAGTCGATAAAATAAATTCAATTTTAAAAATGCTTGGCGGGCCGCATCAACATGTTTAACGGGCCACAAGTGGCCTGCGTGTTGCTCATCCCTGGTTTATATGGATTATTCCCAAAAAATTATACGTGTTTTGGAAATATTGAGTCGAGTTAGTCTAGAATTGATTAATTTTATGGAAGGAAACCTTTCAAACAGCCGTTGTTCATAAACTTCACATGTGTCAGGCTGTGATTGGCTCATGTATTTAAGGATTCCTACAACGTGAAATTCGTATAACGGGGAACGTATCTACGCATTATAAGGGGTCTACTGTACTAAGCTTTCCACTTTTTGAAACAAGAAGCTATTTGGAGAAATGATTTATTGAACAAGTTAGTTTTGTTGCTAAAATATTTCAGTTCATAGTTTCCAAAGCTTTTTTCTTATTTGTATTTTTTAAAATTGTTCTAATTTTGAGCATTGCCAAACTGAAAGAGGCATACATAACAACTTGATGCTAATCAGTTTCCAATCAATGTAATACTTGTAATTTCATATCCAGAGAAATGTTTTCCTTTGTATTTTTGAACCATTCATCACTTTTTCATTCTTTCTGATATAATAGATAGCATGCACTAAATGTATATGACAGAAGTTAACTAAATAAATTACCATAAATGTCTGATTGAACCTGTCAAATGACATGTGACCTGTAAGTTGCCATAAAGACAAACAACTTTAAGAGGGTAAGAATGTAATTACAGTCGACCCCCCTATAACACAGTAGATATGTTCTGTGTTTTATAAAATTCATTTTCTATGAGTCCTTAAATACATGAGTNTTGAAACAAGTTTCGAGAAGGACCACGTGTATCGACAGAAGGCGAGAAGAGAAAATTTACATACTTAAGTACTAATAGTTCACGAAAATAATAATTTTCGTGAACTATTATTACTTAAGTATGTAAAAATGTATTACATTTCCTGTTGTTCGAGGGTTTTACCCAATTCTCGAACCGTGTCAGAGTGAATCCGTGCTATAAAAGTACCGTGTTATACGGGGGATGGTACCAATTCTCGAACTGTGTTAGAGCGAATCCGTGCTATAGAAGTGCCATGTTATACGGGGGTTATCTGTATACAGTTAACCCCCCTATAATACAGTACATATGTTCCGCTCTTTATGAAATTCATGCTTTAAGAGTCCTTAAATACATGAGCCAATCACAGCCCGGCACATATGCAGTTTACAGACTATGGCTGTTTGAAAGGTTTTCTTCCATAAAATTAATTGATTCTAGACTAATTTGACTCAATATTTCCAAAATACGTATAATATTTTGGGAATAATCCATATAAACTATGCTATAAACAAAAAATTGTAGGATTACCTACTGAGTGTGCATCATTTGACGACACCATTGCTTAAGCTTGTTTTCATCATGGAGCGGCGCATCGAACAGGGGACACATGTTTCCTAATAAATTATTTTTATGCGAAAAATTTGCTGAACTTTGGAGGCATCATTAATATAAATATAGTTTTTATGGACGTTAAATAATAAATGATTTTTAGTAGGTCCGCTGCTCGTTTAAACTCAACGGTTTGTGCAATATCTGCTATTGGTCTAGATTTGACCAATCCTGTCGTGACACGAGTCGGCGATGACGTTTTACCGAATTATACGAGTCTCTTTTAGCGTGTTTATATGAATACAGTCACAATTTTTTCGCCGTTATATATGAATCCAAATTATATGAACCCATTTTATAGGGGTCTACTGTATAAGCTGATTTTTTAAAAATATGATTGTTATTTTTAATTTTATACACTTACCAGATGCAGCTGAAAGTTGTAAAGGTGTTTCAGTGACTTTATCCTCATTTAAACAAGCTCCTCCTTCAACATTTGCTCCTTTCTCAAGCAAAAGCTGTAATAATGAATTTGTCTTAAAATTAAGATAAAAACTTAAGATAAACTTTGTTCTATAATTACTTTTTAAAATATACTAATGATTAAAACTTAATTATAACAAATACTCAAATTAACCTTAGCATACTTAAATGTAGAAACATATGAAAAATCTATTTTATTATATACTAGCAGATGAGCCCGGTATTGCTTGGGGAAAAAGTATCGATAGCAAAGATTAAGATTATTAGATTGTAGCCGATCTTACCCGTTTTATCGAGTGCAAGAATGTCCTGTCTCTTCTGAGACTAATTAGAAAATTTTTAGATATCTGCTTACCACACCGGGATAATGATAATTAAGACTCACTGCAACCACTAACCAGTGCATAGTACCACTAAGTGATGAATAAATGTTTTTGTAACTCTTTCTGGGTTCTTCAGGTTTACTAAATTTGAAAAATAAGCTGGATCTTCTAGAATCATTCATAAATATAAATTCAAACATAAAATCAAACATTAAGACGAAGAGTTTGAATAAAGCAAACTTATGCACATACGCTCTTCATGTCAACTTTATATATGAAATGCTCGTGTACACGCGCGCCACCTATTGTAGGATAAATGTACTATGCCAGAAATCTTTGCGGAAGTGTATTAAACAACTTCCCAAAGTTTCATGGCAATCGAATAAATGGTGTAGTAATGCATGAAGGACAGACATTTATTTTTATATATATAGATGATAATATTAAACTAATTAATCTGTTAATATAAATTTATATATATAATGCTTAAGAAAACCAACCTTTATCAATATATATTTACTAACAAGTTACAGTTCTGGCTCAGCATAACATACACATACAAATATGTATAGAACAGTAGCGTAGCGTGGTTGTCAGCCACCCAGGGCAAAGGAAAATTTCGCTGTTCCCTTATTTAGGTATCTCAATTTAAAAAACTAAAATTCAGTTTCATCACAGAATAAGTAATGAAAAATTCTGTGCTAGTGTTGCCACCATTTTAAAATCGCTGATCCAGACGGCAGGTGAGGTTTGTTCAAATAGAGGTTCCTGACACATGCATATGTCATTTTGCAATGCGAAGAATAATGTGCAGTGCATGCCGGTTCTAAATCAGTTACAGTTAGCGACTAGGGAGACTTGGGTAGGAGTAACTTATGACTTAGCTCTATTGGATATCGGAGGTGTATGTGAATACGATTGAATTGTACAAGCAAAGAAATAAAAACGGTCAACAGGTTGTGCACCACATGTCGACATAAACAGACAAACATGGCAGAATTGTAGATGAGTTTCAGTGAGTATGAGTTCTTTCACTGTTAAAATAGTGTTAAACACACACACACGGGGGGTGTCCAGCTTAGAGGTCTAATAAAAAGAAAAATTTATAAAAACTTGCATTGTATTCATATGAGATTGGAAGTTGATGTGTCTTTTATGTTGACATCTGTGAGAAATGATCATACCTTGGGACTGCAGTTACTAGCACATATACAGAATGGCAAAATATGTGCACATTAACAAAGGACCAGGTGATAGGCAACAATGACTGGAGCAAGTTAGTTATTTGGACATGCTGCAACTTTTGCTTTTCCTCAACTTCTTCCTGATATCATTTTTCAATAAGATGTACTTTCCACTTTGTAATTTAGATAAAACAATTTCTGAATGGAGCTTCCCAGATGGTAGATTGGTTTTTTAACCCACTGGATTTTTTCCTGTGGGATTTTATGAATAATCAAGTGTGTCATACATCTGTACATAACTTGAATGATCTAAGACAAAGAATCTGTCAGGTTATCAACAATGTCAACCTCATATTCTATTGAATATGTGGTTGAACTGGAATACAAATTGGAGATCTGCTACACCATTGTTGGTGTTGTGAGATTAGCCGGGGGTACCAAACTGGAGTACCGCTTAATCGGCACATATCACAAGATTTGATCTCAAGACTTTTAAGGAGGGCTTTAAAATAAAATAAGGATATAGACTGTGAAGTCTTTATTCACATCCAGATGTTGACATCAGTTAATCAGTTTTATTACACATGGATTAACATATGTTATCTCGGAGTTTCGAGTATGAAAAACGCAAATAACCTAAATAAGTATAAGTGTGAATATTTAATATTAATCAAGCCATATTTATAAAATAAACTAAAACATTTAATGAATCAAAATATCAAAAGTATACAAAGGAATGGATACAAATCGTACTTAAACCTAAATCTAAATAACTAACTTAAACCTAATCTTATATTAAACCTGACATGTGAGAGAGAGTTTACATTGATCTAACCGTTATCATATTACCTTCTCAGTTCTTTCAATATTTCAATGTATGAGAATCTTCTTTAATTATGAATATTCTTCTTCTTATATTTCCTTTAAAGATAACTTTTCTTATGACAATCATGTCATATAACTGACTCTATACTTCGTATGGAGGACTCTGTAGTACGACTTTCAATTGATGAACTCGTATGACAGACTTGTATGATGGACTCTCTATATCGTATGGAGAACACTTCGAATGGCAGACTCCCTGAATGGCGATCTCCCTTCGTATGATGGTCTCCTCGAATGGCAGGAAAATGTCCCTTTTATATCAGCCTTCCTTGACAGCCCAGTAGTGTGTGCAAAAGCTCGTGAGTCGGCCGTGGAAAGGAAATCAACTTCCTTTCTAAAATCGAAAGTTTCTTTTGACATCTGTTTTTGTAAAATTCGTTGAAGTTTAAAATATTATTTTCTATTAAAATCTAAATCTTTTTCTCTCCTCTGTTAATTTGTCCAAAAATGACTTTCCTTCATTGAAATGTGTTTGAGTGTAAAAAAAGTTTTTGTAGTAGAAGACTACTACTTCTTTTTGTTAAATAATGATAAGTTTTCAGTTTATACTCTTTTCTTTTATTAAATCTCTAAGCTGGACACCCTTTATATATATATTTCTATTTTTCAAATATCAATATTATAATTAATATGTCTGTAGTTGTGTACAGATTTTTCACAAGATTCATATCTATAATCTTATAAATAACAAAATATGCAGATTATTTTTCTTGAAAATATTTATAAATTGCTAAAATGAAAATGTCTTATGGATAAAAACATTTCATCTTAACTGAAAGATATTTTAATTTTATCATTATTTTAACTTAATTTTTTTGATAACTCATAATGGGCTAGTAATAGAAAAGTATAAAATTGTTTTTGTTTCTAAGTTAGACTATTTATCATTATAAATAACATGTTTATTATTTTTATATTTGATTTGGATGTATATTTAAAATGGCTATATAATTTAATTGATAGTTAATTCATTATCAATTAATTATTAATAAAATTTTAATGAAGAATATTGATTAAGCCATATGATTATCATTATTTTTGCAGATTACCCACATATTATGATATTTGTTGGTTTTAATTAAACTTGTAAATTACAAATTACAAGTCATCAAGAATGTCACTAAAAATGTGAAAAATTCTTTATGCCAAAGACATATTCATCTGCCATTGCAGGTTTTCCTAAAACTATGAAAGGCACTTATATGTATGCCTTGTTTTTAGTCTGTCATTTATCTTTTACATGTCAATCTATATTTTAATAATTACTCCTACTTTAACTTGCATTTTAAGTAAATTACATGACTCTATAAGAAGTAAGAACAGTGTAAAGGTAGAATCAATGGAGTCCAAGATTTATTTCAGATTAAAAGTTTTACTTTTAAACATATGCTCAAAATTCCAAACATTCAAAAGATTTAGAATACCTATTTGATGTTATTATTCCAATTCTGTAACATTTAATCTATAATAAATCTTGAAACACTTCAATGACTCACTATTCTTCTTTAATTTGCATCCTGAAAGCTAATAAATTTCTGGTATTTTCTTATTTTTTATATAGTAAGTGCTACAGAATTATATAAAAGCCAAATTTTGGTTTTATTTTGGTTTTAGTTCTTTATATTAAGTAGAAACTAAACAATTGACTGTCAAATTTACATTATGGATTATTATCAACATCAAAATTTTTCTTTCTAAATTTTTTAAGTTTATTTTAGATATATAAAATACTTACTTTAATGACTGATAAATGACAATGAGTTGTAGCATATGTTAAAGCTGTCCAATGTTGAGTTTCAGGATTAGCAAATGGATGAAGACTGCTACATGATGGAGTCTTAACAAAGTAGATAATAAAAAGATTAAAAAATTATAAACAAAATATTACTTTTTATTTTTTAATATCTAAGTTTTTAAATTTATTTTAGATTCAAAATTTTTAATATGCTTCTTTATTAATTAAAAAAATGCATAAATAGAAATAGGTATTACCATTTGAAAAAACATTTTACTTTAATTATTTTTAAAGATTTCAGAAAGTTAATGCTACTTTATTCCTTATACTATTTATGAAAATGATATCAGATAGTTTTCTTTTTACCTCCATATCAACATCGGCTCCTGCATCCATAAGCATATGAACCATCGCTTCATCACCTCTTATACATGCTAACATTAAAGGTGTTAAACCATGTTCATTTAAAGTATTTACACGAGAAGGAGGCAATATTTGTAAAGCATGAGGAATGAGATCAGTTCTTCCGGAAGTGAGCATACGGAAAGCCAAATCTACTTTTAATAAATGTGCACACTCTGATTCATCAGTTTGTTTTCCAATATAAACATATTCATCACAGATCCTAAAAGATAATAAATAATTTATTTATACTGTATATTTTAAAACTTTTCAAGTAATAAAGAAAAAGTTGATATAAACATAATTTCAATTTAGTTTGCTTTATTTCATTTAAACCAACACATTTTAAGAAATTCTGAGGCACAATATCATTTTACATCATCTTAAGGATTGATAAGATTATAAATTCTTAAGATAATGTAAAATGATATTGTGCTTCAAAATTGAATTTCTTAATCTCACAAAAAGCAAACAAAAATGTTGTATGAATAATTGTTTTTATAATTTTGTAAACTGAATTTTAATAAATTTTTTTTTTGTTTTTTTTAATTCTTAGAACTTATACAAAGTCTGAAGTTTCTAAAAAATACTATAACTTTTTATATTAAAAACATTTCTTTAATAATAAAATTTATAGAAATTAAAACCTTATTTTTTAATTTATTAGTTTTATAAGTTTTTGTTTCATTTGCACTAATTTTTTAAGATGTTGATAGTTTAATAAGTTTTTGTGTAACTTTGCTAAAAAATCTATGTTCATAATAATTAAATATATTTAATCATCACATTAATCTTATCAGTGTTAAGATATCTACTAATTCGAACATAAATCAATTATTGTATTTATTCAGACACTTGGCAAATCTCATCATTAAATTTTATTCAGTTGAATCAACTGAATAAAATTTAATGATGAGATTTGCCAAGTGTCTGAATAAATACAATAATTGATTTGTGTTTGAATTACTAA